TCTTTCCCTTGTGTGTCTCAGGGTGTCAGGATGTGCAGGGTTCCTGGGACCGCCTTCCCGATGTCGCCAAGCTTAAGGCAGTCCTGGGCAAGCACGGGTGCCGGGGTTCGACCCTTGGACGTTGGGACAAGGACCTCCAGAACCAGCCTCTTGAGGGCTACCTCTGAGGACTTCCTTGAGGACAGTGGTGACAGATTTGACTTTTCTGTGCACTCTGCCACTTCAGCGAGGCCGCTAAGGGAGTCGGGGCTCTGAAGACCCTTTTGTGGTACCCCTGACACACCCTCCTAGGGGCGGGGGCTCCTGGAGGCCCGCTTTCACTGTTAGGGATTCTTGAGTTCACCGTGAAAATCCTGTGGTTGTGGAGCCGGCCCAGAGCAGCCTCTGGGCCTGCAGACGCCAGGAGGCCAGCAGCAGGCTCTGTCCCCTCTCCCAGGTGGTGGGGGCTGATGGCTGGGGCAGCCTGGTGGGGAGGTAGGCTTAGTCGGGGCCTTGTGTGGACTCGGACTCCCCTTTGGAGGGACCCTGTCCTGATGGTCGATGTGGTGTGCTGAGTGTCACACCCAGCAGGCTTGGCAGGGCCAGGTGCTGCAGGTGGCAGGGAGGCTGTTGGTGGCTTTGGGGTTGAGAACCAGCAGAGCTGATTTGCTGCCACTGGGCAATGACTTACTCTGGGCAGCCGTCTGTGAACCCTGGTGTTCTCAGCCAGCCCTGGAGGGCCCTGCTGTGCGGGGCGGGGGGCAAGCAGGAACTCTGAGGCCAGTCGGGGCACCAGTGCCTTCCCCCCAACACAGTCTGGCCCTGCGGAGCTACAGTGAGGATAGCTGCCCGGTACTCACAGCAGGCAGGGTCCTGCCCTGCCATCCACTGGTTTGATGGGAGCTGGGCCTTTCCTCACCTCAGCACATTTCACATCATTGTTTTCAAAGTACAGTTTAAAACTCAAAAGTAAACTTTTCAGCAACTCAAGGATTTGCTTAGTGATCTGAAGCACTTCTGGCAACTTTCGGGGGGTGTGGAATTTTGTTCACCTGGAACAGCCTCAGAGGAAGGCTCTGCCTGAGGACCCTCTCTGAGCTGGAGAAGAGGGGCTGTCAGCGTCCTCAGAGCCAGCCTCAGGCCAGGGGCGGGTCCCTGCCAGTGACTTCAGAAGGAACGGGTGTTCCCTGAAAACAGACACCGAGACCAGGGGGCATAAGTCCGCCCAGTTCTGTGTCTGCCGCCCTTTGGGGAGTGGGGAAGCCCACGACACTGGGAAGGGCATGGGCTGGTCCTCCCCTTTCCCCTGTGTGTGTAGGGTGGTCCCTGGATGGCACCTGGCCTTGCCCCCTGCTGGCTTGGGAGATGACGCCATGCTAAGGCTCAGGGCTGGTGCCCAGCGGTCCATCCAACCCTCTGGAGCACAGGTGGGGGCTACAGGTGAAGGGAGCAGGCCCATCGGACAGTCCCCAGTCCTCCCACCCAGGGCAAGGCCTGACTGGCCCGTGCACTCCGGGCTGCACCCTGTGTGGCCTGTGCTTGGCCCTATCTGGAGTCACAGGTCAGGCAGGAGTGTGGACAGGTGAGGGGATGGGCTGGGGGCTCCACAGAGGAAGCCGGGGCCAGATCCCTTTCGCCACCAGGCCCGTGCAGCCACTCCCACCCCTGCTGCAGCTCAGGCAGGAAGTACCGGCTCCTGGTTACCCCCGTAAGCCGTGCGCTTGGTGGTTTCCTTGCTCCTTGCACTCGGGACTTCACGTCCCCTACTGTCGGCCCCAAAGGAAGTGGGGAATGCCAGGCCCGGCTCAGGGGCCACCCCAGAAGAAGGCTGTCCATCCCAAAGTTGCCCACCCCCAAACTAAGCACGAAGACCCCTGTGATCTAGGCTGTCCTGTCCCCTGTTCCTCAATACACATGGCTGCACCCAAGCCTCAGAGCCCCCCAGGTTGACCGGCAGAGCTCTCCCATCCCAGCCACAGCTCTCTGAGCTGGGAGCCTGTGGCCCACCCCAGGACCAGGGCTGTGATTTGGACCTCTCCCTGCCCCAGTTTCAAGGCTGCAGGCATGCAGCTGAGGCTTCATGCCCACCTGGGGAGTGGAGGTGGGCGGCACACCCTCCAGGGGCCAGCAAAGCTCCCTGGGCCTCGCAGACCCAGGAGTCCCCGCAAGCTCTCAGACTCAGGAAACCTGATGGACGGGTCTGGCGTGTCCTTGAGTCCTCATATCCAGGAGCCACCCCAGAGGGGGCAGCGCTTTCTGCTGCTGGTGGGGAGCAGGCCAGAGAGGGAAGCCAGGTGGGGGAGGGGTCCAGACAGAAACCCAGGTCAGTGCTGAGGCTGCTTCAGGCACCCAGCACCACTCCAACCCCAGGCTCAGGTTGCCAAGGAGAGAAGCACCTCTGCACCCCACCCCCACACACCAACAGGGAAGGGCCACCCCCCCAGGGGGTGGGTGGACACAGCAGCCTGAAATGTGAGCCCCTGGGAGCTCCCGCTTTAGACCAACTGATGACTAGTCCCTGGGAAACCCCCATCTCAGGATCTTTGGCTGCTGCCAGCCCCAGGCAGCTCAGGGGACTACCCAGGGACCCCACAGACCCTGCCCAGTGCAGCCTCGGGACACGCTTAAGCCACGTGGGGCAGTTTATTGAGGTTTTAGTGTCGGGGTAGGTGCGCACACACGGACGTGGGGAAGGATACCTCCCACACGCAAGCGCATACCTACAGGCTGAACACAGGGTGGCCCATGCACCTCCCTTCCCCAGCAAGGAGCTGTGGCCTTTGGGGCCTAGTGATTTCTGGGCTGGCCATGACCCGTGCTTCTCCAGGGGTCTGCGCAGATATGACAAGGACTAGAGCGAGAGTCCTCAGCCTTCCCCTGCCCCCTGCAGCAGAAACCCTAGGGCTCCGAGGAGTCCCATCTCAGACCCAGGGTACCAGGGCTTCCCACTGCATGGTGGAAGGAGTCCTCTGTGACCCCGAGCTCGCCTTCTGTCATCCAGGCTGGGCTGGCCTTGGCTGCCCTTGCTCGTGTCATCAGAGCCCAGGGCTGGGCTGGCACTCGACGTCCACTCTGGGGCGAGAGCTGCTACCTCCAGGAGTTCTGCCTCATGGGGGTGACTGTGGGGAAGACATGGGCTGAGAGGGCTGTGGGGGCCACAGAAGGACCTCATCCCACCCAGAGTGGGGGAGACTGACATACTCTCTGGGCTCAGGCTGGACACTAGGGCTGGACTCGGGGGGGCTCCCGGCAGGGGCTCTTCTCTGGACAGAGGCAGAAGATCCTGTGGGAAGAGCG